GGAAAGATTTGTCAAAATGCGGTGCCTGCCTGTTCACTGAATAAAAATCAAGAAAACCATCTTCCAAATTCAGCTTCACATTTGCTTTTGCTTTTTTGAGTAATTTTTCTGCTAGCTTCTGAGCAACTCTAGTTTCTCTACAGCTAAAGGTCTTTGAAGACACTTTCCCATGAACTACCGAAATATTAACAAACATAGCATCAGCAAAGTTCTCTCCATCAGTTGCCGTTATCTTAAGGCCAAAATTGCTGTTCTTTATGCCAGAATTAATCAGAGATTTTTTAAGTTGCAGGACACCAGAGTCAGGATTTAAATAAAAAATGCCAAGTTCATTTCCAGAGATTATTTTGTACTTCACAAGCTCTAACTCATCTATGTCTATTGCAGAAACAGCAGTGATGTGACCACCAACAGGAAAATCAGAAGAAATTACTCCCTGACACGCCACTTTTTCAAAGAGGGGTTTGTTATCGTTGACATTGCCTATGTATATGGTGACATTCACCTCGCTTTCATGGCGGTAGGGAGAACCCCAGTCGGAGGCTCTCACAATGAACCTGTAGCTTTCTGGTGAGGACTCAAAATCCAGTTCTTCAGATGTGCTGATGACACCTGTAAACTGGTTTATTGTAAATGGTAGTGAGTTCAGACTGGCAATGCTGTATGTTATGTATCCATTTTCTCCCCTATCTTTATCAACTGCTGAAACTGCCAAAATGCTAGACCCCACAGGGACGCTTTCATTGACGAATGAGCTGTAGGAGGGCTGCTGGAACTCTGGAGTGTGATCATTGGCATCTTCTAACCTGACAGTAACCTGTGCTTTTAAATCACCTCCTTTGTTCGTATATACTTCTAATTCATAGAGGTCCTTCTCAATGATTTTCAAAGGACGAGCAGTAGTAATAAGGCCTGTGTTGGGGTTGATCTTAAAATACTCAGCTTCCTCACTTGGTGATATTCTATATTCCACACCCTGTGGCTCAGGCATCAGCCTAACTACTGCAACCACCACACCAGGAGGTGAAAATTCACTGATCAAAAAATCATATGCTTCCTTTTCAAACTTCATGGGGATACTTTCTTTCTTGGGACTAGCAATGTGGACCAGTTTGACCGCAGAAAATTTCTGAGGAGATCCTTTGTCCTTTGCTTGGAGAGTCAGGTTATAACCGTACGGGAAGCTGTCCCAATCAATAGGCTTTCTTTCTTTGATTTTGTACTCATTCATCCATTTACCTTCTTTAGTCAGAAAGAACTGTTCTAGCGGATCTCCAGCCACAATAGAAACAGATTCTATTTCTCCATTGGCTCCTTCATCTAGGTCGTCAATGTTAACAACTGCATAGGTAGGCTCCTTGTCTGATGGGAAGGGAATATGGGTTACTACATTTATCGTTGGGGCATGTTCATTTATACGTTCAATGTGAACATAAAGCTTGGCAGTGCTGCTTACGCCATTGTTTCCGTAAAGCTTCATCCCACGGTCCACAGCCAGAATCTCAAGATCATATCTGTTTTTCTCATCATAGTTTAATCGGCCACTTAAGGAGATAACACCACTTGTAGGATGAACTGAGAACAGATCAACTTTGTTTTTGAAGTAATAATAAAATTCACCATTGGACCCAATATCTGCATCTGTTGCAGTCACCTGTGCAATGCTAGTCCTTAAAGGAGTGCTTTCTGCTATCGTGACAGAGTACGTGGTTGGTGAAAACAAAGGTCTTAAGTCATTCATATCCAAAACCTGGATGTTCACTTTTGTCCATGCTTCCAAGTCCTCTCCTCTGACAGACCCTTTTACAATCAATAAATAGTTGTCCTGGATTTCTCTGTTCAATATAGCAGAATTCCCACCTTTAGTCCTTATTCTTAGGAAGCAAAAGTCAGCAATGATGACTTCCTCTGCTTTAAAAAAGCCCTCATCATCACCAGACACTATCCTGTACTTGATATCCCATGAAAGGTCAGCCAAGGTAATGCCCATCCTCGTTTGACTGTTGACATAGGTCCTGGCTGCAGAATTCTCATACACCGTAGCATTGTAAGTGGAATGTGTAAAGTGAAAGCCAAGTGGAGTGGTCCCGTGAACTACCTCGCAAATGGAGGCCAGGAGCTTGACAATCAGAAGGGCAAGGCATGACGGAGATGGCCGTGAGCCTGACCAGCGGCCCATATTCACCTCCATCACATCATTCTTTCACCCTGTGACAGAGAAACAGGAAATAGTTGATTAAGAGATAAAAACTGTACTGTGAAGTCATGCCAAAATTACTTAATACATTTTTTATTAAAAATAAAATATATGTAATAACTAGTCACTATATATTTAACAGAAAGGGAGAACACTATATACACACACAGACACAAGCGCACCAGTTTTGGATTATATTTTTATGTGTGTGTGTGATATGTTTGCTTGCGCACATATATGCATATACACTTAACTATATATATGTATGTGTATACACTTTTTAAACATAAAAACCCCTATGAGACCCTATCACATCTATACACACATGCACACAGTCCACAATAATAATCACCGTGAAATAAATTATAATCAGACATACAAATTTGGATAAATTTATATAAAAGGATGAACCACACACAGAAATTATTGCTTTTATTTACCAGTAGCTCCAACTACACCTAAACTTGTTTGTTTTCAGAGCATATTGGAAAACTCATTTTGAGTCTCAATGTTTGGAAAGGAGACATATTTTCATTATGTATGTAGCACTGCGATACTCAAATGTTACCAGAATTTTTTATGGACTGTTGAGTAAGATCACATGGTTGATGAAATTTGAGTCACCAAGACCAAGTAGCACGTAGAAGTCACTACCCAGCCATTACTTTAATTACAGATACCTTCAGAAAAATCAAAATTAAGGAAGAATCATAGATAATTAAATGCAATTGCATACACATGTACATACGCATACACAAACACAGATACTGAGAACAGGCAAAATACAATGAAGAAAATAAAACTGCTCAGTAAAGCTCCCAGCTGAAGACTCATGTTAGGAAACAGCACAGCTGAGATAGCCTGTAGGACTTAACTCTACCCTTGCATATGTACCACGATGCATCTGTAATTATGGTCACCACTTTCCACTGGGTAACATACCCTCAATGAGGCCACAAACAGACATCTTTTTTCTGTATATCCAATAAATGCTCCATTCACTGGGTACTACTGCCATCCCAACCTATGAAAGGTGAGGACTCCCTCCAGTCTACTGCCTGTTCTGCTGCCAATGGGCCACCCTGACCAGCAAGAGCGTAAACCCATCCTTGCTCAGATGGAGTGAATTCCAGCTTAGACCACATTTCAGTTTGGCACCCCGAAGTAGAATTTGGCTACGAATAAAGCACCCTTGCTCAGATGGAGTGAATTCCAGCTTACACCACATTTCACTTTGGCACCCCGAAGAAGAATTTGGCTACAAATAAAGCATATGGCTCCACTGTTGTCAGTCTGTCTCAATCCAGTCTGTCCCACTCCAACCACCTCAAAACAGTGAGAGCCTTTCCACTGATTTCAAAAGGCTCTTTATAAATGCAAGTACTCAAATGCTATCAATAAGCAGCCATTTGGGGAAGATTTGGAGTTGCTCCATATAGTCCAGTTGTGGAATAGCCCCCAGTGTCTCGCTTCAGGGATCTAAACCAGGAGGTTAAATGGAGACGGGGTTAGCGGAGACACTGGCTGAAGGTTGCCAGAGAGTGCTGCAGGAGCTGGGAGCCAGGTCCTGCTTACTGCTTTCCACTGAAAGGAGAGGAAAGGAGCCCGAGGAAACCAGGCAGGTGCTTACAGTGAGGCAGTGTGAATAAACTTCTTTGTTACAGAGTACATTTGCTGCTACTCCTGAAAATCATAAAAATCAATTTTAAAAGGCAATTATTGAAAGACCCACTGCACACATACATTGTTCTCATTGTCATTTAAAAGCTGCTTGAAAATGTAGTCTTCTCCAAGCTAGAATACAGAGTGGAAAAGGATAGGAAAAGTTGTCAATAATGACAGGGGTTAATTTAAATTTCCAACATGATTTCAACATCCCCTAGGAGATTTATAAATTGCATGCAAGTTTTGGAATATGAATTCACGTTAGTTATCATTTCCAATATCACTGAATGACTATTGCAGTTTTAAGTACTAACGACAATCAATTTATTGCACTGATGTTACAATGTCCACACAAAACACTTAACTTCCTGATCCCACAGTCTATATCCCATTGCCTAACACATTAATCTATTTGATCAGTTTTCCTAAGTGTTCGTCAAGGCACTCATCTTTCTACACACTTATTTTCACATGCAGTTCTCTCCCTGCTTTGTTATCTTCTTATTTTCTTTTCTATTATAACAACAAAAAGGAAGGAAATAAAAACAAGATCGTATCACCTCCTGGACCTGCATTCCCCAGTAACAGGCAAATCCCCACAGAACTACATGTGGCAGTTCCTTTTCTGAGTATGTCCACTCAACTGTTGGGTATGTATCATGCGAGTCCTATGACTAACATCTCGCCCCATACAGTTTATACAACAAATATGCACAATTCTCCGATATGCTTTGTGTATGTGAGGGACCAGGTCTTCCCATGCTCAGGTTGATCCCCAGGAGACCCAGGATGGAAATTTTCTACTTCAGCTAGGAAATATTTTTTTTATTGTTGTTGCCATTTCACTCAGCTAAAAGATCAGAGCAGTGGCACCTTATTTTTCAGCACAGAAAACGTTCATCAACTTAATCCACCAGTGTGAAAATATCAAAGTCTCTTCTTTTCATGCTGCTTTATGTGATCACTTTGAGTACTGCCACTAAAAGCTGCTGCTTCAGCCTAGCCTGGGAGATGATGCTCTCAAGTAGAAAATACAACCAATATACAATACGATGCCAAGGAAAAGCCAGCCAAGGGGAACAGGAAATTCTACTGACAGAGACCCAACTGGTAACAAAACAAAGGGCTGTGTCTCTTCTGTGGTGTGGTATTATTAAAATACTCAACAGACAAATCACTCTATTGCTGCCTTTCACCAAGAGCACTTCAGCATCCTCCATCTATACTGCAGTACCAGCCTCTCCCCACTGCTAGGAAAAAGTGAATTTTTGCTGGCTTACGATGGAGACTGATGTTTCATATGAGCACCCAGACTTTATTTCACTGCAGCTCAGCAGGTTCCCAGAAATAGGTCTCTTTGGAGTAATGAAATGAATTGTATTGTCCAAAGAAGGGCAACAAAGGTGGTGAAGGGTCTGGAGCACAAGTCTGATGGGGAGCAGCTGAGGGAGCTGGGGGTGTTTAGCCTGGAGAAGAGGAGGCTGAGGGGAGACCTGATTGCTCTTTACAACTGTCTGAAAGGAGGGTGTAGCGAGGGGGGGGTCAGTCTCTTCTTCCAGGTAACGAGCAATAGCACAAGAGGAAATGGCCTCAAGTTGTGCTAGGGGAGGTTTAGATCAGAGATTTGGAAAAAATTATTCACCGAAAGGGTTGTCAAGTACTGGACGAGGCCGCCCAGGGAAGTGGTGGAGTCCCCGTCCCTGGAGGTATTTAAAAGATACGTAGATGTGGTGCCTAGGGACATGGTTTAGTGGTTAATGGTTGGACTTGATGATCTTAAAGGTCTTTTCCAACCTAAATGATTCTATGATCCTATCTACATCTCATTTGGTGGTCTAGTTTCTCCTGTCCGCACCATAGTTTAGCCTGAGATGGCTTCTCTCTGTCATTCATGGCCATCAACATCGGGTTTCCAGCTCCATCATAATCAGAAATCAGTTTTCCTGAGAAATTCATTGCTACAAGCGAAAATGATTTAAAACTTTACATTCAGGTTAGCCATACCCAGGTTACAGACTCTGCCATGGCAGACAGGCATCAAAGTAGATATTTACAAAGCTATGTGATTAGGTGAGCCCAATGAAAAAGCTGTGTATATCCCAGGCAATATAACAGGACAACCTTATGCTCCCATTCCGTTTATCTATTTATTTTCAGAGAAAGTCAGGGCTAAGACCTAATCTCAAACACAGTGCTGTAAATCTAGTCATGTCAATAGTCTGGAAAGTTTAAGTGGTTCAGTGCAATCAGGATCAGTCCTGAAACACTAAATTCCACCTAGAAACAATATATGTGTGTGTGTGTTTGTGAATGCATGATTTAGTTATGTATACATAAGTATACACAAATACACAGTTTGTTTATTTTTTAGGTATAATTTCAGGGTTGGCACTGCAAAAATTGGACCTTCACATCAGGCAGCACTTTCAGAGTTTGATTTCATTTCAGATGTGGTATGTAGAGTTGTAACAAGCTCCTCATTGAAGTTATTCATCTATCCATATATTTATATGGCCATCATCATTATACTATTTGAAAGTCCCAATGGACGAGCTATTAAACTGCCAGTTGGGTTACCCAAGAATGTTTTATTCATTTACTGAATTCCTTTCTTCTGGGATATTTGTTTTTAAGAGCTCATAACACATGCATACTCAACACACAGGAAATGTAATGCAATAGGTTACAGAAACAAAGTACAAAGCAACCCACCATAAATTAAGAGGCATTTCTTTAAAGGCATTTCTTGTCAAAGAAATGTTATGGTTTCAAGTGAAGAGAAAGGTTGTGATTACTTTTGCTTGATTTTGAACATTTGGGCAGAAGCTACTAAAAAAAAAATCATCCCCTGGTACTGCTCAACATGGTTAATCTGAAGA